TCAATTCATATGTTTGAGATTGCAGATTTTAACAGTTTGTAAAGTACTTTTAGTTCATTTTCTAGTTCATATAAGTATGTGCATGCATATAAGTGTTATAACGAATTCGAAATATATGAACCTTATTTTGGTTATAAAAGTTTTTTTTAGCACTTAAACTCACAAAATTCCCCCCCTAAATACGGCCTTGAACCTCATGTCAATAAACGCTCAACTTTAATAAAATTATAGCTCTTCATTTTAGCTACTATTAGTATTATTTAGCTCTTTCTTCCGGCCGTTTTAGCACCAAACGAAATTTTTCTCTGGCAACACTGGTTTTAAATCGGTGGTCGGCAAAAATTAAACTGTGTCTGTGTTGGTGAGAACAAGAGAACTGATCCGCATGAGCAATCCAGTAGGAAATTACGAGAAGTGAAACAAAATTTTTTACTTATCGGTCTTCAACAAAAACAGCTTTGCCCGGAGTGCATACACTTTTTCCGAGATTTGGATAGCTTTAAACAAATATTTTGGAAAAAAATATCTATTAAGTAAACTGCTTACTCTAAAATTTAGGTGGCAACCCTATTCCGAAATACGATGGAATGAATGGTACATATCTTGAGCGTATATGTACTATCTATGTATACATAAAAAAAATTTTGATTGAGATTAACAAAATAAAAATTTGTTTTACAAGGAAGCGTGGCAACCTCGATGGAAAATATTTTCTGACCAAAGTTCTCAACAATACTTTTCATTTGATATCCATATTGCAATGTTTTAGATAAATTGTGTAGAATCGAAAATAAGTGGCAACCTTACACTATTCTCCTAAGACATAACATTTTGTGTATAGGGAAAGCATTGCTTAAGAAATTTCTCTTGGTACCCATGAATAGTATTATTTTACCTTTTTTTAGAAGTAGTTTAGAAGCAACCTTATTATAACTATTTTTGAATTAGGGATCTTTAAAATACCTTCCATTTGATACCCATATTATGATGTTTTAATTAATTTGTAACTAATTTCGAATAGGTGGCAACCTTATACGAGTCTTCACGGAGATATTGCCTATTCAGATAACCTTAACATCCAAAACATTATCTGTGTACAAAAATTCACCAAAATCGTTAGAGCCGTTTCCGAGAACCCTATGGATATATATATATATATACAAGAATTGCTCGTTTAATGTAATAAGATATTTAACACATACATATGTACATATATGTGCATCGCTCATTTACTATAAAAGTATCTAAATCCCAAAAAAGCAAAAATCGGGTTAAGTAAAAAGTAAAAAGTGGAAAAAAAATTCCCCCGAAATATGTTCATCCGCGCATAATAAACTCACGGAAACAAATGATAAAGCTGAAGATGTATTAATTTTTCCCTTGGAGTATATGTAAATTCAAAACTTTAAAACAGGTGTTCTCGATTTTAAGTTTTTTGAGTTATGAAAAAACTCAAATAAAAATTTTCAAAATTCATTTGGATTCACCCACGTCAAATATTGAAAACTTAAATTTAAAAAAATCCAAATTCATGTTCATCAAAATTTTCCATATCATTATGAAATGATTAAAAATGTCTTTTAATCACATACATATTCCCTTTAACAACCACCCTTTAATTCTTTTAAAAAAAAAATTTTTTTCATTAAAAAGTTGTATTTTTTCTTTTTTTAATAATCCTAACGGTTTTTACCCTCCGTTCCCGCCAATCCGCACGAGGGCGCAGTCCGCATGACGTACGGAACCAGTATTTATTTTCAATTTTTGCGCCGAGTCACGATAGGCAGGAGTTTGTTAAGTGTCGAGATCTAAAACTGTTCAGCTAAAGAACTAAATTCATCAGCCGATTTTATGTCTTTATTTTAATGGTTCATTTATTGAAAGAGGACAGTATCGATTTCTTAATGCTGAAAAGCGGATCTGATATATCAAACGTCTTGGAATGAGAGTTAAAATCCTGGCATAAGCAACGGAGTGGGACGTGCAATTCAAAATTAGTTTTACAAGCTTTCAGAAATAGGGGACAAAAGTGTCTTGATACCCGGGAGGGAACATTAAGGTTAACTTCGCCCAAAAGAAGCGGAGTTGAAATTGAGCCTGTTAGTAATTTAAATATAAAAATTGTACCAAGCATTTGCCTGCGGCTGGAAAGTGTAGGAAGATTAATAAGTTAGGTCCCTGAAGTAATCACTACAACATTCACCGACTGGTTTCGCACACATGCCATAATTTAGTGCTTATCTAGTGCCAATTTATGCCGCTAAAAAAAATTGAGTGCTCTGTAAATGTTGGTAAAAACATGTGGTAGCCATCTCTTCAGCTGAAGTAAGCACTACACTATGAATATCTCTGGAACCAAAAAGCGCATATACTTCTACCTTACGGCATAATTTAGTGCTTGCCTAGTTCCAATTTATGCCGCAAACAAATTTTTTTCTCTGCAAATTTTGGTAAAAACATGTGGTAGCCATCTCTTCAGCTGAAGTAAGCACTACTCTATGAATATCTCTGGAACCAAAAAGCGCATATACTTCTACCATACGACATAATTTAGTGCTTATCTAGAGCCAATTTATGCCGCAAAAAAAATTTAGTGCTCTGTAAATTTTGGTAAAAACATGTGGCAGCCATCTCTTCAGCTGAAGTACACTATCAATATCTTTGGAACCAAAAAGCGCATATACTTTTAGCTTACGACATAATTTAGTGCTTATCTAGTGCCAATTTATGCCGCAACAAAATTTTTTTTTTCTCTGCAAATTTTGGTAAAAACATGTGGTAGCCATCTCTTCAGCTGAAGTAAGCACTACACTATCAATATCTCTGGAACCAAAAAGCGCATATACTTTTAGCTTACGACATAATCTAGTGCTTATCTAGTGCCAATTTATTCCGCTAAAAAAAATTGAGTGCTCTGTAAATTTTGGTAAAAACATGTGGTAGCCATCTCTTCAGCTGAAGTAAGCACTACTCTATGAATATCTCTGGAACCAAAAAGCGCATATACTTCTACCATACGACATAATTTAGTGCTTATCTAGAGCCAATTTATGCCGCAAAAAAAATTTAGTGCTCTGTAAATTTTGGTAAAAACATGTGGCAGCCATCTCTTCAGCTGAAGTACACTATCAATATCTTTGGAACCAAAAAGCGCATATACTTTTAGCTTACGACATAATTTAGTGCTTATCTAGTGCCAATTTATGCCGCAACAAAATTTTTTTTTTCTCTGCAAATTTTGGTAAAAACATGTGGTAGCCATCTCTTCAGCTGAAGTAAGCACTACACTATCAATATCTCTGGAACCAAAAAGCGCATATACTTTTAGCTTACGACATAATCTAGTGCTTATCTAGTGCCAATTTATTCCGCTAAAAAAAATTTAGTGCTCTGTAAATTTTGGTAAAAACATGTGGTAGCCATCTCTTCAGCTGAAGTAAGCACTACACTATTAATATCTCTGGGACCAAAAAGCGCATATAATTTAGTGGTTATCTAGTGCCAATTTATGCCGCTAAAAAAAATACATTTAATACATTTTGCAATAGGACTGCGCAATTAATAAATTCATTATAACTCATAAAAAAAAAATACATATATTATAAAATCTAATTAACGAAACGACCTAATGCCCAGTGTAAAGTACACTGCAAAACTAACTTTTTTTCTCTAACAGGCCATTTTGCATTGCGGAGCTTGACGATTTTTACAAGCCAGATATTTAAGCAGTCTTCCAAAAAGCTTTCAAGATCCAGTTGAAAATGGAAGCAGTCCTGACAGATACATATTACTAGGAGTTGCCAAACTTACAGGACCTCTTAAACAAAACAAAAACGTAGTAGCACATTATACTGCAATATGTCTAAGGCAAAATACATGGTTCGAGCTTGACGATCTACAATCCGAAAAACATTTAAAAGTCAACACCAATTTACGCTATTACGTTGAGCAATAATCTACGGAAAAATAAGAAAGTGATAGAAAGGATATACATACACTAGTGTGGCCCAAGAATGCTTGTGAAAGAAGTAAAGTCGGAATTTTAATGCTCTCACATCTAAGGGCGTGAGAGCATTCTATATCGAAAAAAATATCAGACTTGGATTTCAAAATAAAATAGAGGGGTATATTTTTTCGATATAGAACAATCCTAGGGTGTGAGAGCATTCAAATTCTGACTTAACTTTTTTTTGGACCACTCTAATATACACTCAGCGAAATACCTACATATATAAAACACGTTTTTTTTAATATAACACCGTGCGACAAAAACAAAAAAAAATAAAACACATGAATCAGCCTATATAATCACGAAACTATGGCCCAAATATAGTAAAAGTGCGTTTTTAGTTTTTCTCTCTGACGTCCGGATTAATATATTTGGTCCAGGGTTTCGCGAGTATATTGATTTTTGTGTGTATAAAATTGACTGTCACACGTTGACGGGTCACACGAAAGGGATTTGAATGTCTATTCTTTATATTAGCTATTTTTATTTATATTTTTTATTATAGTAGCTTTGAACTTTATTTTTAATCAATCAATATGAGTTGTAATGAATTTATTAATTGCGCAGTCCTATTGCAAAATGTATTAATAAATGTATTAAAATTATGCCATGAGGTAGAAGTATATGCGCTTTTTGGTTCCAGAGATATTGATAGTGTAGTGCTTACTTCAGCTGAAGAGATGACTACCACATGTTTTTACCAAAATTTACAGAGCACAAAATTTTTTTTTTCGGCACAAATTGGCGCTAGATAAGCACTAGATTATGTCGTAAGGTAGAAGTATATGCGCTTTTTGGTTCCAGAGATATTGATAGTGTAGTGCTTACTTCAGCTGAAGGGATGGCTACCACATGTTTTTAACAAAATTTGCTGAGAAAAAAAATTTTTTTGCGGCATAAATTGGCATTAGATAAGCACTAAATTATGTCGTAAGAGCATCTAGATGCCTTTCTGCATCAAAAAGAAAATTTTGAAAAAAAGGTCACTCACGTTTAATTGGCAGTTACGGCTCAATATGTCTGTACATATATAAATCCGAAGATACCAAGCTTTTCAGGCCATCAGTGCTCCATTAACCTAAAATTTTACGAAAGTTTGTTGAGTTTTTTTTTTAATATTTAAATAATAGTTTGAAATTTGAATTTGTTTGAGTTCTGCTAAAGAAAGAATAATATTTTTATAACCAAAAACTAACCAACTAACCAAAATTAAGTTACAAAAAAAATAATATGTTAAATCTTGTCAAAATATGGTGCGGCTATAATTTTTTCGACCACTGTATGGAAACAAGTGACAAGAAAATATATCAAAAATTCAACACTTGAAGGAAAGCTTTCGACTCACACATAGACAGGGTGAAGTCCCGAGAATATAAGTATTTACGAAGAATCAGAACCAATATTGACCTATTTGACATGTAAGACCGAATGGAAACAAGTAAGAGCAGCGCTGTCTTCGGTTATGCCGAAGGCTTCATACCTTTCATGAGCATCTGAAAATTTTACTTTAACAGATTACTGCATTTGAAAAAATGTATATATTCACAGCAGGCATAAATAGAGGAGATACATATATAAAAAATTATAACTAAACAATCAGAGGTATGGAAGACATACCTTATATAGCCCCATTCTAAATGATTTTCACTGCTGTGTGATCGGTACGTGAACCGGTAACACAATTTAATGGGTTTAGCTACCTACATCAAGGAGATATATCGCAAAGACTGGTATCTGAACAATCAGTGGTATAAGAGATAAAGCTCATACAGCATAAATTTTAACGATTTTCTCAGTAGACTTTGTATTATTATTTATAAAATAGCTTACGAAATTTATCGGTTTTAGCTGTCCAAATAAAGGAGTTTTACAGTAAAACCCCATATATGAACAGTCAGCTTTATGGGGGCAACAAACAGGTTATAGTGAACCGATCTTTGGTATTTTTACTGTAAACTTTCTGTTGATAATGAGTGAAAATAGTGCAAAATTTCATGTTCCTAGGTGTATAAATGAAGGAGTTATAACGAAAATTCTCATAACTGAACAATCAGTTGTATGGGAGATATATGTTATAGTGACCCGATTTGTTATTTTCACTGTAAGTATTCTGTTAACAATGAGTGAAAACGGTGCGAATTTTGATGCNTTTGACATGTAAGACCGAATGGAAACAAGTAAGAGCAGCGCTGTCTTCGGTTATGCCGAAGGCTTCATACCTTTCATGAGCATCTGAAAATTTTACTTTAACAGATTACTGCATTTGAAAAAATGTATATATTCACAGCAGGCATAAATAGAGGAGATACATATATAAAAAATTATAACTAAACAATCAGAGGTATGGAAGACATACCTTATATAGCCCCATTCTAAATGATTTTCACTGCTGTGTGATCGGTACGTGAACCGGTAACACAATTTAATGGGTTTAGCTACCTACATCAAGGAGATATATCGCAAAGACTGGTATCTGAACAATCAGTGGTATAAGAGATAAAGCTCATACAGCATAAATTTTAACGATTTTCTCAGTAGACTTTGTATTATTATTTATAAAATAGCTTACGAAATTTATCGGTTTTAGCTGTCCAAATAAAGGAGTTTTACAGTAAAACCCCATATATGAACAGTCAGCTTTATGGGGGCAACAAACAGGTTATAGTGAACCGATCTTTGGTATTTTTACTGTAAACTTTCTGTTGATAATGAGTGAAAATAGTGCAAAATTTCATGTTCCTAGGTGTATAAATGAAGGAGTTATAACGAAAATTCTCATAACTGAACAATCAGTTGTATGGGAGATATATGTTATAGTGACCCGATTTGTTATTTTCACTGTAAGTATTCTGTTAACAATGAGTGAAAACGGTGCGAATTTTGATGCTCCTAGCTGCATAAATGAAGAAGTTATGGCGAAAAATCTCATATCTGAACAATCAGTTGTTTGGTGGATATAGGTTATAGAGACCCGATCTTCGCCATTTTAACTGAAAGTATTCTTTTGATAATGAGCAACAGTGCAAAATTTCATGTACCTAGCTACTTAAATGAGCTACTTATGAGAGCTATAGGTTATAGTGACCCGTTCTTTGTAATTTTCACTCTAAATTTTCTGTTGATAATGGGTGAAAGTATTGAAAATTTCATGTTCCTAGCTGCGTAAATGGAGAAGTTATAAAGAAATCTCATATCTGAACAATCATACAACGGAGCTATATGTTATAGTGGTCCGATTCTTCCGGTTCCGACAAATGATTAATACATTATAAAAATACACATCTCGAAAATTGAGAGACTAGATTGCATACAAACAGACGGACAGACGGACATGGCTAAATCGACTCAGCTCGGCGTTCTGGTCATTTAAGTATACATTTTAATGGGTCTATCTCTTCTTATTCTCGTACTTACAAACATCGGGCCAAAGTTATAATACCATTTCATGCTCATGAAAGGTATAAAAATTACCAAATTGAAAAATAAATTACCAAATTACCAAACTTGACAAATAAAGAAAAAAATTACCAATTTGGGTTAAAAATTACCAAAGCGGCAACGCTGCGTGTGAGTTGATCTTCCACAATTGTGGTATGAAGCGCCGACCATTGTTCTAAATGTACCTAAAATGGCGTGCTTGTACCGAATATACGATTTAATGTCGTAGACGTTTGAAAATCTAACAAACTGGGATGAAATTAACTATCAAGACTTTACCATATGTCTCCGTAGAGCAAAAACTCTATTTAGCTTGCCAAATAGAGCGTAAAGATGTCGTAGACTTTTCGATTTAGTTGCGATCAAGGCGAATTTATACAAGGTGGTAGCGGTAGAGCAAATACAATAATCCCATGTATTTTGTATTGCGGGTGTTATGTCAAGTCTTAATTCGCTCCAAATATTACATTTAAGCTGATGCCACATAAAACTTTTGCTTCGCTTTACGTGACAGATTCGCTTTGACAGATAAGATGAATTGTATGAAAATGCACAAAGCATGCCACATAAATCGTCGAAGCTGCAGCGCGAAGCGAAAAGATGGCCAACTCCCATCTTTTTGCGCGCTTTGACAATCAGCCAGTTTAATATTTATTTTGTTTCGTCCAAATTCGAGTTTTCATGCAGAAACATAAAACTTAATTACATTGCTGATAATTTTAAAGCAAAATATATGAAATCCACAGCAACTTTGACTAGTAAAAAAGCGGTACAAAATTGTTTTCTTGGCGTTCATTGTGGCATACCTTTTGCGTTTGGCGCTTTGCTGGCAAAGTTATAAATGTCACGCAAAGCTACAAAGTTTTATCTGGCATCAGCTTTATTTTGTTTTTGCTTTTGTTGGCTGTGCTATCAAATCAGTAAAACCAAAAAAAAAACACATGTAAGGCGAAGAAACCAGCTGATCGAACAACATCACCTTGTATAAATTCGCCTTGGTTGTGATGGACTGTGTACACGGCGAAAAAGTCTCGCTAAATAACTCTCACGTAGACTGTGAAGCGTAGTCTCATGAAGAGCTCTATTGCAGGGGTTCCCAAACTTTTTTCATAGCGGCACCCTCGTTGTCCTAAAAAAAATTTCGCGGCACCCCTACTCTTCCTTTGGCTTTAATGTGAGGATTGAATTTGTTTTGATGATTTCATTATTTCCTTTAAGTTTATTAGGAGCTTTGACAATTTCACCCTGAAATCGTTTGACGCTGAAAGATTGCTGGTGTATTTGTTTTTAACCGACTTCGTAAAAAGGATAATCGGCGGAATATTTTATTATTATTTTTTTTTAGGTATGTTACCGCATAACTTTGGTCCTCGTTAACCGATTACTATAATTAATTTTTTTTAAGGAAAGGTGTTACCTTATAGGTGGTCCCATTCTAATTTGGTTTAAATCCGATCATTGGATCATGAAGAGATTAAGGATAATCTTAAAATTGTATATGGGAATTGAATGCGATCTCGTATTTTGCTTAAAGATTACTTGTTTATGTAAGCAATTGTTGAAAATGCAGTCCCACATAGAAATGTAAAGGTAAAAGTCACTAGTATTTTTAATGCAATCTTGCCAACAACAGTGTTTTCTGAATACACTTGCATCCAGAACTCTCTTGGCTCCCTTCGTAGTATTTAATATTCAAAGTGCCGTCTTCACTGATATCCAGAAGGTTTTCAAAAGCTTAATTCGGGTCACATGAAAACGAGTTTGTTATCCAGCTGTAGACATCCTCAGAGTCAATATTGGGAAAATATTCGACAATGGTTTTTTCTAAACCTTCCAAGTTATCGCTGGTAATGCACGTTAACGCTAAGAAAATAACTTTTACAGCCAATTTCACGAAAGCAATTTAAGTGAAACATGATTTTAATTTTTTGAATTTTATATGGAAATTGATAGAAAATAAAAAATTATTTTCCATTTAAACTGTTGGTGAAACCGGATGTTATCAATTTTCTTAGCATTAACTTCGAAGTTACATACGTTTTTCTGATTTACTTTAATTATTTATGGGGTTTTCATGCAAATTGCTAGATTCTCTAAAATATACATGCACCAATAAAAAATCTCGACGGGCTAGAAAAACCCAAAGATGTATTTTAGTTTCGCAGGCCTCTGCTATCTGCGCAGCGTAATCCAATACGGGTTTTAGATCTAGTGGCGGCACCTTCCTACTAGCCAAGGAATACCGACGGATCATGTAGTGACTTCTCGTGGCTTTTCTACCTCTTGCTTCATCCTAGACATCGCCCGCTTTCGTTTTTCCAACCACTGCAAATATCCGCACACTTGCTCCATTTCAAACCATTTTTCTGTACAAATTTGTCGATAGCTTTAAAAATTTCGTCGCTAGTGATGTAAGTCTCAAGTACTTCGCTCATCAAAAGATCTTCTTCGATTTGCATTGCGAATGGGTACCCCACTCACATCAAACGTCTTTCAATACCCTTTCCAACCGTATCGACATTTTGAAAATAGTTTTTGAAATATAAGGTTTTGAAAATACATATTGGAAATTCCACTTTTACACCCCTACACTCAGTAAAGCATTCCTTGATGCTGTGCATACGAAATAATGCATATGAA